GTTGTTTTACTCCCTTAATTATTACAATGGGTGTACAGTACCAATAACTTTTAATGTACTATATTTAAGGTGACATTTTTGTACAAACCCGCCCCGGTATACCATAGTATAAGCGTGCACAGGTTTTAAATAATACTATTAACTTTTTTATTCCTTATTTGTTCTCTTGCACTCTTATTGGAGTAAGGTAGTCAAACTTTTATTGGTAACTTTTGAATATATTGGAGTGTCTTATTTGAGACCAATACAAATTGGTCCTTGCTACCTTTTGGTAATTTTTCCTATAACATTTAATAATAATTACTGTGGTACTATGTATATTACATTGCCTCCTATTGGTCTTGTAAATTTCAGTTCTAAACATACCCCCCCCCCCCCTTTATTAAATAGATTTATAATTGTTTTTAGATTTGACTCTTATTTTGCCCCTACTGACCTCAACCAAACTAAGGTAAAATTGTTTTATTTTAAAGGATAGGTACATTTTTATAGGAATTTTGGAGATCAGGGACTTTCTGGTTTAAGTCCGCGGATTGTATTTTGTAAACCAGTGGCGCCCTATTAAGCTAACTTTTAATATGGAACCTACTCCCACACCACTGAGTAGCCGCGAGCACTTTTTTGCGCTGGCCGCATTCCTTAAGAGTGTCTTACTGTACCTAGGCCTATTGTGGTTTATTACTTTAAATTTAGTATTCAAACAGTTTAAGGGTTAATTTTGTGCGCAACACAACTAAATATATTTTTTAGAAAAAAAAAAGAACGGTTAATGGTCAGTGTTGTGTAGAGTGGCCCCGAAATATTTTGTGGGGAACGAAAAATATAAAAACAGCGGTTTCGGAATTTTGGAATCAGAGCAGTCTCCAGCTCAGTGTTGAGTTTAAGTCTACAGTACCTAATGAGTCAGTCGGACAAAATTCGCGAAGAGTTTCTTTCATTTTGTCGCCTCGGGAAAACGCGTTAAATCGAATTTTTGAAAAAGAAGTAACATGAAAGAAAGAACATTTAAATTCGTTCAACAATCTGTGCGAGCTCTAAATAATCAAAAGAATTATTTTAGATTAGAATTATTATTAGGTGACTTTAAGGGCGATAATTTAAATTTACTCTAGTGACAAGTTTTATTTTGATTTTATCAATGATTGAAATGACTATGAAGTAAGCGAATTGACCATGGAACATTATTGCATATGCAGGGCTTTCATTTCAAAACTTGCCACATGTTATCAGCGTAAAGAGACAGATTTCTGGAAATCATCGGAACACGTCAACAAATTTATTGAGGCGGAATGTTTTCTACGTAAAACTGAACTTCAAGCACATAGGGATTTTAAAGATACAGAATGGGCCAAATGGGGAAAAAGTTACGCAATCAAGTGCCTACAAATAATCTGTCATCAACATCTTTTTCTTAGGATTTCTAAAAACGATGAAAAATCATGTTATGTAATATCATAGATAACTTTTCTAGTCGAGAACAAACCTAATTTAATTTGAAGTTATAAGCCTTCCATAAATATTTCACAAAACCTTCAAGCATTTATGTTTATATTATTTATTCACTAGCCAACTAACATTTGGCAAAATTATGAATAACTTAAATCATCGAGAGCCCAGCAGTTTAATTTCAAGCTGATGATGGACTTTGAATTATTAATACATATCTCAGTGCTTATTAGAACCGCTTTCATTGATTCCTTTTTTTTACCAAGTAATTTGAATCAAATACCTACCACATGTTTAGTGCAATATCGCGTTATTCGAGCAACGTCATAAATTACTTATGTCACCATTTCATAACAAGAACAAGGCCTGTTTAATTTGGGAATGCTTGATAAACCTCAATTATTAATTACCTGGCCCTGTTTGTACATTGCGGATGATAACCGCTATTGAAATTTGGTATTTACTGCTACTATCTGTTTGTAAAGGAGCCTCAAAATCTTATTCTGTTTCAAACAAAAGCCTGGAAGAGACACGTTACTGTTTAGAAAGTTCAACAAGTTTTAAAGCGCTTGATGCCGCTCTGGATTACTTTTCACGACGAAACAATCCTCTAGTTTCGATTCGGGTATTAGTTTTTAATTGAATGAATTTTATTTTTAGTAACAATGGCCTCACAAAAATGGGTATAGCAATATCGTTTCGAAGGCATATTAATTATCTTTTTTAAAACGCTGTCAAATTTAATTAATTAATGGAGGGACCGGGGACGAATCGGCCATAACGGTTATTGCTCCCTCTTTTTTGTTCATTTCCATCAAAAAAAAAAAGAGACGCTATAGCATAAGGTTATTTTTTGTCGGAGGCAACTTTAGTTAGGTCGGGAATAATTTGAAATAATGTAACGATAATGTGTTCTGCTTAAAATAGAGTTATTAACGACCATCCAGACTTTAAATGTAGATGGTTTGAGGTAAAAGACAAACTAATCTGATTCAGAGTACTTATCTTTTGGAAATTTGCAGATTTTATTGTAATTGAGATTTTTTGCATGTTTTGAATGTCTGTTCCTGAATTTCCTCAAAAACCAATCAGGAAGCTTTCGGAAAATTTCCAGGGATTATTGTACATACAAATTTTCAGGCAAATTACAAAAAAAAAATTGGAGCTGATTGAAATGTGTCTTTTCCTCAATTTACTCAAAAATTCATGAAGTGTTATTGTGATTTATAACAAACCAATTGGTGAATTAAGGCCATAGTTTGTTCTATGATAATTTATACAAAACGGAATTGTAATGTAGGCATAGTCTTTTTTCATTAATGGAAATGGTCTGTATTTTTTCTTAATAGAGATTGCACACCAAACTGTTATTTTTGGGGTATCTCTGTTTGACGAGTTCCAGAGAAAATACTCTGGAACTCGTAAAATTTTCTTGGAATTTGTATTATAACTTAATTGATATCTTACTAGACAGTTAAAAAAATCTTTGTCATAGTGATATCAAGTACCTACCTACAACATGAAGTTGCATGCGTTTGCAAAAATACCAAGATTTCGATTTTGATTTTTTACCTCTAAAACTTCAAGTTTTAGGGACAATTTCTATTGGTACATACATGGATACCTTGAATATTAATATTTCTTCTGACGTTGTGATATACAGGAGGGTGTTCCATTAAAAATTGTGGATAATTTTGATGTTGGAAAAATGATTTTTTCTCACTTGCCCTGTATAAGTTTTAAAAAAATTTGCAACCTACTAGAAAAAACTTTAGACTAAGAGAAATCGAATGGCGCAAACTGCAGGTAGCTAGCACACCTGGTTTAAAAGTTAACACCATTTAAAATGATTCACTTTCGGCTGGGACACCCTGTATATCAAATACTTTGAGTCATTGTTTAGTTGCTGTGCACATCTCCTTAAAATTCCAATAAAAGGTGCTACTTTATTTATTATATTTTCTATGTTTAATGTCCATGTTAAATTATCAGGAATACTAAGTCCTAAGTATTTATAATTTGTTATTTGCTTTAATATTTGCCCATTCAATTTTATCACTGGATTGCACCTTTTTTTTTCCAGTTTACTTTATTATCATACCGTCTTACTTATGTTGATTGTTAATTTATTTGTGCACAGTCATTCCTGATACAAAGTTATGTCTTTTTCATTCGCAGCAGAATAAACCAAAACTGTGTCGTCCGCGAACATAAAGTATTTGCATTTCAGGTTGAGGAACTTCAAGTTGTGCAAATATAACAAGAACCGATCCCTGAGCAACACCCACTGATATTTCTTCCAAGTCACTACTAGCACCATCAACAACTGTGAACTATTTCCTTTCAGATGAGTATGACCTTAGCAGCTCATTACACTTTTCTCGGAAACCTAGTTTATTTAGCTTTTCTAACGTCAGTTCAATATTTACTGTGTCAAAGGCCTTTTTGAGATCGATAAACACAGCAATAACATATTGGTTTTGGTCAATTTCACTTGCTATGTAGTCTAGAAGATCTTCTGTCGCTCCTAGTGTATTGCTTTAAGCTTGAAAACCGTATTGGTTACTATTAAACTCAAATGTGGAGTTCACAAAGCCAATCATTCGTGATTTAATTACTTTCTCAGTGATCTTAGAAAATGTGCTGAGCAGTGATATAGGCCGGTAATTATTTAGGTCCTTATGGGATCCCTTCCCTTTTTGTAGACTGGTACAACCTTAGCCACTTTAAGTTCCTCAGGATATCTGCCTGTGTTCAAGATTTTATTTATAATTTGGACAATGATTGTTCTTAGGCAGTCCCAAGAATATGTCTTTTTTTGAAATATTATCAGCACAATTATTTTTCAAGTTCATTAGGATGTTTTGAACTTCCTCCAGGTTTGTTTTTTCGAGCTGTATAGTGTCATTGACTTCTTCATACAGGAGAGGAGTATTTCTAGAATTATTTATTTGAGAAGCCAAATATTGTCCTATGCTTGTAAAGTGCTTATTGAAAGTTGTCGTTATGTCCTTATTAGAATTTACTAGTTCACCGTCTTTGTTTTTGATGTGTTTTAAATTTGTTTTTTTAATTGGTTTTCTGCTACATAATATGTCGTTAATCACTGTCCACACCTTTCTAAAATCACCATTAGCTTCTTTCAATTTTCATTCAACATATTCCTTTTGTAAACTTTTTCTCTTGTGTAATTTGTTTCTATATTTTATTTTTTTATATATTCATATGTGATCCAGTATTTTTTTCCTTTATTTTAAAGGAGTATTCTTTGGTATTTAATATCTTATTAAATTTAATATCTTTAATCCAAACCATATCAATCAAATGATTCATTAAAATAAGTTATTGTTAAATTAAATCCCAATCTAAACTAATGAATGAAAAATTTAAAAACAATATACTTACCGTGAAATTTTTAATAAACATTTACTTACCCTGTATGTAAACCGCTTAAATCACAACAAATTTAATTTTCCACCCATAGAAAGCTAAAATATGGGTCAACACCTTGCAACATTCTGCGCTTCCAAGCAATAAATAATACTCTTAAGAGTTTCGGGCTGGAAATTACTTTATTGACGACAATAATATATACAAGCTACTATTTTGGAAAACCTCTTTCCACACAAACTACCTTAAACTCTACCTAAAGTTTATAATAATATTCATACACTAAAAATTCAAAACCCATTTGTGATGAAAATGATATAAGTAATTATTATTAATCTAATCTTACACGTTGTTACAAACAACACATTGTTAAAACACTAAAATCTAATATTTCCTCGGTCCACCGGACGAATTGGGATACCCCATGGGTCTTCCCATCAACGAATTCGAATTGGAACCGCTTCCCATAAAACCACCACTTGGTGGATATCCTGAAGAACCAAAACGGTGTGGTTCCGGATAGGAACCGGAACCACTGAACGATGAAGGCATTCTTTGTGAATTGCCTGATGGCGGATAACCTAGCAATGGTTTGGCTCCGCCGGAATAAGATGAAGGATTCGGAGTGTAATGGTTGCTACCATAAGAAGAGTGATGGTCGTCCACTCTTGGTTTTTTGCCTCCCTTGTAGGGGCTTCTTTCGCGAGAACGTCTGTTGGGGTTGATTTTGGGCGGTGGGGGTGGACTGCGGGCGTTCGGTCTACCGTCTGAATGTCTGGCGCTAAGAGAGACAAATGAACATTTTATAGGTGGGAAATGATTTTGGATTGTTTTACATGCTGCAATTAAAGACTTGTGAGTCAGAAACTTGTTAGGAATGCAACAAGTAAGATTATGTTTTCTCTAAAATGCCATGGTGGAGCGACAAACAATAATTATGATTGGTAAGGAACACAATTCAGAAATTTGTATGTCCAAGTTGTATACAGTAATGTTTTAGTCTGGGTGACAGCTTTGATTCACGTTCTTATTCAAATCGAATCGAAGAAATGACAATTTTCAATCATAGTAGAGTGCTATTTGTGATAAAATCGTTCTATAAATGAATTCCGTCGTGGGCGATTGAGTGTCACAAGCTAAATTTTTAATGTACTAGGCAATCCAAACCACGTGACATTCAAAATAGCGTGGCAGCCACACATGAGTGAAAAAAAACTACTAGTTTCTGTCAGACTTAAGCAATTTGGGGTGATTTATCAATTTTTCAATTTTTCTGAGTGCCTTTTTTAATAGATTTTGGCTTCAAATTTAGGAATAATTTAGTGTATGGAGTTCGGGGAATATCAAATGACCATTAGAATACAAAATCTCAACCAAAAAGAATTTGAAATTTCATCGTTTTAGTAAGAAGGTACCAACCAACCTTATGATTTAGATTTTGGAAAACTTTGAAAGGTTATAACTTTTTTTATTATAGATAGAAAGCTGAAATATTCAGCGATTCTTATTCCAGTAGAGGACTTCCATCCCTGAAAATTTCAACTCATTGGAACTTATAGTTCCTGAGATAAAATCGTGTTGTGCAATTTGGGTGATTTATCAATTTTTCAATTTTTCTGAGTGCCTTTTTTAATAGATTTTGGCTTCAAATCTGGAAATAATTTAGTGTATGGAGTTCGGGGGATATCAAATGACCATTAGAACACAAAATCTCAACAAAAAAAATTTTGAAATTTCAAAGTTTTATGATTTAGATTTTGGAAAACTTTGAAAGGTCAGTTGACAATGAACGGGCTCGTCTAACTCCGGCCCTTCAGGCTCGTATAACCTCAGCCCTTCGGGCTCGTAACGTAATTAAAACAACACCGACCTTTCAGGCTCGAGATTTGAAAAAAAAAGGCAACACTGCTTATGATACCTCAAACGTCAAAAAATTGACATTTCAAAATAGGCCTTGTTTTCTTTGACAGTCGATACAAAATGGCGTCTTTTTATTTCAAAAATTACGAGCCCGAAGGGCCGGAGTATCAAAATCAGTTGACAATGAACGCACTCGTATAACTCCGACCCTTCGGGCTTGTATAACCTCGGCCCTTCAGGCTCGTAACGTAATTAAAATAACACCGGCCTTTCAGACGCGAGATTTGAAAAAAACATATGGCAACATTGCTTATGATACAACAACGTGAATTGGTTTTTGATTCAGCTGTCAAAATTTAAAAGTTGAATGTCTAATGAGGTTAAAAAAACAAGGTCAAATGTCACGATTTTTGACAATAAGATGTCAATTATTGAATTGCAAATTTGTTGATTGAAATTGGAAAATTTTGGACAGCTGTCAAAATTTAAGAGTTAAATCTTCAATGAGGTTGGTAAAAAAAGACACCTGTCATATTTCACGAATTATGACAATAATATGTCAATTATCGAGCTTCAAATCTGTTCCATTTTTGTTGATATAAATTTTCAACAATAATTGTCAAAATTTGACACCTGTATTATCAATGAAGTTTTTTAAAAAAAATTGTCACAATTTTTAACTAAAAAAGATCAATTAAAATTCAAAACTTGTGTCATTTTAGTTCATTAAAATTAGGAAATTTTCTACATCTTTAAAAATTTGACAATTAGATCTCGAAAAAAAAAGACTCCTGTCAAATGTCACGATTTTTGACAATTAGATAATAATTATTGTGCTTCAAATTTGTGTCATTTTTGTTGATTGATGTTAGAAATTTTTCAACAACTGTCAAAATTTGTAAGTTACATCTCCTATGAGGTTTTTTTCACCTTATGATATAGAATTTAGAAACCTTTGAAAGGTCATAACTTTTTTTCTATTATAGATAGAAAGCTGAAATTTTCACTGAAATTTATCTCAATAAAGGGACTACATTCCCTGCACTTATAGTTCCTGGAATAAAATCGTGTTAAGTAATTTGGGGTGATTTATTAATTTTTCAATTTTTCTGAGTGCCTTTTTTCATAGATTTCTGCTTCAAATTTGGGAATAACTTGGTGTAAAGTGTTGCCTGAGGTGGTACAATTGTACCAGATTTGGTACCACTCGTTGAAAAAGTACGCTGGTACGACGTTGGCATATTTGGTACAATTTTAATTTTTTGTATTTTTTCCAAATTCTCAAAGAGTCTTAACCTACTGCCTACTTAATCTAGTCATAGTCATAGTCAATCATACTTTATTATCCAAGAAAAAAACATTCTATTGACAAAGCATTAACTTAAAAGTAAAACAGAAAAAAATAAAATAAATCACCAATTGTACAATGCAAATACAAACAAGTTAAAAAAAAAAATTACAAATAGTACGGCGATCCAAGCAATATTACATGTACTTAAAACTATACTAAAATAATAAAATGTCAATTAAAGCGTTGATTGATAAAAGACAAGAGTACTTAAAAACAAAAAAGGTTGTACAGTCATACAGTGTCACTATAGTAGTCCTCCAAGCTGTAGTAAGCCTTTTGCAACAAAATATCCTTAACAATCCTACGGAATAGTTTGTAGTTTCTGATCGTTTTAAGTTCATTACTTAGATGGTTGAAAATTTTTTTGCTCTCATAGAATATTGAGTGTTTTGCTAAAGCAGACTTTGGTATAGGTAAGCCTATATTAGTGTTCGAACTTACTCTAGTGTTGTACCCAATATCCCAAGTTACCAAACCTGAATATTTCTTGTGCACAAGACACACAGTTTCTAAAACGAACAAACATGGTACAGTTAAAAAAATTTCCCTAATAAATAGCGGTTGACAATGTTCACGACCTGCAGCTTTACAGAAATAACGAATTGCCCTCTTTTGCAAAACAAATATCGAGTTAAACTGTTGCCTGTTAGTAAATCCCCAAAAAGCTATACCATATCTCACAAGAGATTCGATGTTCTAATTAACTTGTATTTCTGTATCCAAATTCGATATAACAATAATTTTTGATTCATAAATAGATGGCGTCACCAATGTAATACTCGTTTTGTGTTTTTTGGTTGACGTAGTTTGTGTTTAGTTTAGGTTTTCGGCAGAAAATAAAGAAAACTCAAAGCCTCGTACTTTAAATCGGTTTTCCTGATCGGAAAAGCGGAAAATCCAAAGAAAAACCATTGAAAAATGACATTCCGATGCCAACTTGATGAAACTTAAATTTTTATTATTTACCCCGTTGAAAAACTCGAAAATTTTGATACAAAATGAAGGAAACTTAAAGCCTCGTACTTTAAATCGATTTTCCTGATCAAAAACAGCTTGGAAAAGTGGAAATTTCTAGGAAAAACTGGATAAAAATGTAAACACCTAAAATGAAAATAGCCAACTGTCAAAAATGACAAATGATATTTATTACAAGGCCTCCTTGATTGAAGTTAGCGACAAGTGGTGTTGCCACATCAAAAACATTTTAAATGGGATTTTGGTAATTATGGCATTTAAAAGTGGAAATTTTTGCTAGAAAATGAAGAAAACTCAAAGCCTTGTATGTTAAATCGCTTTTTTCCATTAAAAATTCCCGAAAAAGTCGAAAATTCGAGGAAAAAAATCACAAGACGTCACTTCAAAATGGCCGACTAAACGCAACATTGCCACATTACATCTCGGAAAACAAAAATAACATTTAAAATGAGTTTTTTGTTTAAAATTCAATTAAAAATTGTTAAATAATTATTGAATAATGATTATAATAATTAAAATTCCCTAGATAAAGCATCGGAAACTTGTTTTCAGTTTAATTTCAATGAAGATGACAATACAAGGTTTACTTGTTGATTATAGTGAGTAAGACAAAGACAACGATAAAGTAATATGTTTGCAAAAACCACCGTTTTCTGAAAAAAGTGAAAATCTTAAGAAAACCCAATAGAAAACCAACATTCCAAAGTCAACTTGATAGAACTAAAGTTTTGAATATTCTCGGCTCTTTGATTGGGCGCTAAAAATCGCATTTTGAATATTCCCGGGTTTTGATTGGCTCCAAATTATCCGCTGACCAATAGAATTATAAACTGGGCCCCGTGATTAAAATAACTCCGGCCCTTCGGGCTCTCGTATAACTTCGCCCCTTCGGGCTCGCGTGTAACTCCGGCACTTCGGGCTCGCATATAATTAACAGTTTTCCCGAACGAAACCGGCCTGGAAAAGTGGAAAATTCGAGGAGAAACTGGATAAAAACACTCGAAAATGGCCGACTGTCTAAAATGCCAAATGACATTACATTACAAGACCTATTTGATCAAAAGCGACGTTGCCATAATTACAATTTCAAACATAATGTTTTTCCAGATTTTAGTGAGGAAAACAAAGAAGAAGATATGGTAGGATACATTAGTAAAAAATCAAAAGCGATTATAAATGAGTAAGATAAAGAGCGAGATAAAGTAGGAAACAATTTAAAGGATCAGTTGGTCGAGCCAAACTATCATAAGAGTAAATTTTCGATTGTTCCCGGTTCAAACACTTGGAATAATTATTCAATTTTTTTTTTGACAACTGACAAGCCTAAGGTTCGTTTCACCAGGGTTCATACTTGACCTTGAAACTTGAAAAAAAAGGGTTGTCGTAGATTAATTCATATGACACATTCAATTTTTTTGACAAATTAAAATGAATGACTTTTTTTTTTTTTTTTTTTTTTTTTTTTTTTTACGGATATGCGCACTCGCAAGGACAATGTCCTATCACGCTCGAGAAGCGGCAAGTGCGCGGAAATGTCGGTGTATGTTGGTCTTGAAACGGTTCAGGTTGTAACCTGCAGGGAAAACCGTCGCAGGGAGTTTATTCCACAGCGATGCTGTTCTCCAGAGATATGAATTCTGATATAGTGAGGTTCTTGGTGCCTCTAGTTTGACAGTAAATTCATGGTTACCGTCTGTTTGACGCGTTCGCCTGGTAGGTGCTACTCTCGGTGGAATCATACGTGCCAACTCTTCAGAGCATTTTCCGTGATAGTACCTGTAGAAGAGAGATAAATCGCCCACAGATCTGCGATGTTCGAGACCATCCAAGTTACGAGTAAGTGCGGGGTCATTGATCAGCTTGATAGCTCGTTTTTGCACGGTATTCAAAAGCATTAAGGTATGTTTGGGTGCAGCACTCCATATATGTGAGCAGTACTCCATAGTTGGTCGAATCTGGGCTTTGTAGAGTGTCAGCAATTGGCTTGGTGTGTACAGATGTCTTGTACGAAATAGCACCCCCAGCTTTTGGGAGGCCCTTTTAGCAATATCTGCCACGTGACTGTGCCAAGACATGTTGGTCTCTGCAGTAACCCCCAAGATGTTCAACTGACTCTGTAATGTGACAGCACTTCCAGATAGCATGATGTTTGGCTCACCGGTGCTGGTCTTTTTTGAAGACAGAGCTGCTTGGGTTTTCTGCGCATTGAACTGTACAAGGTTTTTGTTACCCCAGTCCTCTATTATCTCCAGGTCGTTATTTATCTGCGATATTTGAGTTAGTCTAAGATGATGGAATTCACGTGCGGAAAGCCCTGTGGGTGGTATGAGTGAGGAGACTACATTACCATCGTCTGCAAAGCAATAAAGTGGATTTACTGTTTTATCTATGAGGTCATTTATGTAAATCAGGAAAAGAGTTGGCGAAAGGATTGCTCCCTGTGGCACACCAGCATTTATTTGGTAAGAGTTGGAGTTCTGGCCATCCAGTGCAACATAAATGGATCTGTCCTTTAGGTAACTTTCAAACCAAGTGCAAAGTTTCGGCGATAATCCCATTGCTTTGAGCTTGTTGAGAAGATTTTCATGCCAAACTTTGTCGAATGCTTTAGATATATCTAAGGCAATTGTTCTTGTTTCACCCCGCAACTCAATCGCTTTTTGCCATAAGTGAGTGACGTATGTAAGTAAATCGCCAGTTGATCTATATTTTCGAAATCCGTATTGCTTATCGTTGATAATTTTGTACTTTTCCAAGTACTTGGTTAGGTGATTGTTCACAACTCTTTCCATTACTTTTGATATCACCGGAAGTAGAGCAATTGGTCTATAGTTTAACGGATCTGTCTTTTTTCCTTTCTTTGGAATGGGTTGTACTGCGGCAGACTTCCATGATGATGGATATACTCCTTGCCTGTAAGACAAATTGAATAATTTTGCGAAAGTTGGGGTGAGTTCGTTGGCGCAATTTTTGAGTACTATTGCGGGAATGCCATCCGGACCCATTGCTTTGTTTGTATCCAGCTTTTTTAGGGATTTTCGTATTTCTCTGTGACAAAAGGGTACCTCTGGCATACTATGGGAAACCCTTTCAATGAACGGTGGAGTTTTTCCGTTTGGCACTGTTAGGTTGGAGTTGGAGGAAAACATTTGGGCAAGCATATTGGCTTTTTCCTCTGATGTTGTGGCTAAGTGATTATTTTTATCTGTAAGTGGTGGTATGGATGACTTGGTGAAGTTAGATCCAACAGCTTTTGCAAGAGACCAAAAAGACCTAGAACTACTTGGACAATTCAGCAACCTGTTTTTTATTCTTTGATTGTATGTTTCTTTAGCGGAGTCAATAGTAATTTTGCAACTATTTCTGGCTTCTATAAATTCTGTGTGGTTTTGAGCGGTTTGTTGTCGTTTCCAAAGGTTATATGCTCTGTGTTTTTTCTGTACAGCCGTTTGACACTGGCTGTTGAACCAAGGTTTAGCATTAGCTCTACGTTTAGTTGTATGTGGGATATATTCGTCCATTCCAGATAAGATTACTTGTGTTATTTCATTTCAGCAAATAGTGGGATCAGCTGTTTTAAAGCAAACCTCTTGCCATGGAAAATCCAGGTAATACTGTTTTAGGTCATTCCATTTTGCCGATTTATAGTGCCACATTTTACGAGGAAGTGGTTGTAGGCTTGGTGGGATGAGCATTTCGCACTTTGTTATTATAAGTTTATGATCGGACGAACCAAGTGGAGCATCTACTTGAATTGTGTACGAGTCAGGATTTGTGGTTAGGAACAAGTCTAAAAGCGCTGCAAATTCGCCCCTTTCTGAGATACGGGTAGGTTCATCGACAAGCTGCGTTAGACCACAACTTATGGCAAAAGCTTCTGCTTCTCTGCCTTCGTTATCTGTTTTGTTGTGGTGTTTCAGCCAGGGTATATTGTGGACGTTGAAATCGCCTAAAAAGACAATTTCCGCCTGTGGATAGTTTGACTGTATACTATCACAGCTTTCGGATAATGTCGCGAAAAAGTTTTGGTACTCGGTGTTAGATGGCGGTCGGTAGAGGCAGCAGATAAACTTGGTCGATGACTTTGAGGTGAATTTTAGCCATATGATATCAAGGTTCGCTGGTTCTAGCTTCTCCTCTCGATGACATGAAAGGTCATTTTTAATGTACACACAGATCCCAAAATTATGTCTAAATCGGTGGTGTAGGTCATAGCCGGGATAAAGATAGTTCACAATAGGTGTTGCAGAACTGATTTTAGTTTCAGTGAGAACAAGGATGTCAGGTCTTTGTTCTTCAAGATGTTGGTGAACTGAATTCATATTTGTACTTATTCCTCTTATATTGCTAAAATCAATTCTGAGTTGAGTTTTTGATCTTCTCTTTATATCTTTACATGAAGGACCCCCAGGATCACCCGACGCCCGGAGATCCGAGTGGTCGGGTATTTTACCTCCGGAATATTTTGATCCTGGAGGCGCCATCATGCTATCTGTTACTCATTGTTGGAACCGGACTGCCAGCGCAGCAGCGGAACGTGGTGATACCACTTAGCGCTACTCAATTCTGGCATGGTGGTATCTCACCGGTCGACGCCCAATGAGTAAAAAGCGTCTACCACCTACGGAACGGATGAACGTTGTTGACGTCACTGATTTGTTTCAGTCAATTTTTATTTGTTAAACAAGGAAGGCAAATGCTGGTGGCAAGTACAAACCCTGGCGAAACAAACTTTACATACAATTATATGATTTTTGACAATAATTGACGAGTTCATTTTCAGGACCACTTACGATTGTTATGACTTTTTTTGTCAATTGACAGCCTTGTGATTCAGATTGAGGCCTACAACACCAACGTTGCTACATTTTAACGGTGGAGCATTTGTGATTGTGAATGAAAAACGTTGACAAGTGGCAATTGACATCAAGAAATGATTGTTATGATGTTGTAGGCTGAATGAAATTTTTAACTTTTGGCAACACTTTAACGCTAGAGTATTGAAATGGCGTTTTTTTTTTTAAATCATGAGCCCGAAGGGCGAGAGTGTTTTCAATCTTGAGCCCACAGGGCAACAAAGAAACGTCATTTTGTATCAAGTTTTAAAAAAAACCAAGGCCTACTTTGAAACGTCAATTTTTTCACGTTTGTTGTATCATAAGCAGTATTGCCATATGTTTTTTTCAAATCTCCAGCCTGAATGGCCAGTGTTGTTTTAATTACGTTACGAGTCCGAAGGGCCGAGGTTATACGAGCCCCAAGGGCCGAAGTTATATAAGTCCGTTCATTGTCAACTGATTTTAATACCTATTATGAATATTACAGGTCTGCGATGCCCTTAGATGTTCTGGGTCGCACGCGCGCTAAACTGAAGGATTCAGCGTGTCCTCCCTGGCCGAGTGGCTGAATAACCCGCTCTGGTACAATTTTTCTTTAATTTTGGTACAAAAAATTTTTGCTCTCTGGCAACACTGTTGGTGTATGGAGTTCGAGGGATATCAAATGACCATTAGGACACAAAATGTCAACAAAAAAAAAATTGAAATTTCATCGTTTTAGTAAGAAGGTAGCCTTATGATTTAGATTTTGGAAAACTTTGAAAGGTCATAACTTTTTTTCTATTATAGACAGAAAGGTGAAATTTCCAGCGATTCTTATCCCACTGGCGGGCTACAATCTTTGAAAATTTTAGCTCAATTGGACTTATAGATTCCAAAGTGGGGTACCAAACTGAGACGAAATCGCCTTATATTTACTATAAAAATCCAATAAGTATTGGCCACCAATTTTTCCACTAATGAAGGAAAATATAACTGCTAAACATGATTTTATAGGAAATTTTATGCTCTTTAATTTTTCTTCCACCATATTTTCTCGTTAATAGCTTTCTTTTGGAGATATTGGCAATAAACTAAAAAAAGTCCGATTTTTACCCCTTTAAGGGTCGATTACCGGTGGGGTTTGGTGATATTTTAAGGACCCCAATATAAACTTATATACCAAATTTCAGCTTGTGTCTAATTTGTTTATGATTTATGGACCCTGGACTAGGCGATTGTACAATTTTGCATGGTCTCATTTAATGATTGCTTTCTTGAAAATATCAGTTTTTAATACAGTATCTAACAGTTTAGCTTGTGACACTTAGGAAGCATAATTTGACTGGCACTCTACTATTAAGAGATGTCCTCTTCATTATCAGAATGGACTAAACTGACAATATGTTCTTACCTCAATGTTGCCAGATGGTGTTGCAGCATGTAAAACAATCTTAAAACTAAAATCTACTTATAATTTTAAACCTAATTTTTTGTTGCAGGAGAAATCGTTGAGAGGATGTTACTAGCTCAAACAAACCTAACCCAAAGGAGAATAATTCAAGAATAAATATTAGACGCTGCAGAAAAAGCAACTGACCAATTATTTACTCTCATAGAAGGAAAATTGTCAGTATAGCTACTGAAAGAATTTTAAGAAGGCAGATAAATAAAAAATCCCCAATAAAGTCAAAAAATCTCCACAATCACTTACCGTGCAATTTTGTCGGAACTGGACCGACGAGGCGGCGAGGCTCGTTGGTGCCTCACCATGGCGACATCGTCGATTTTCCTTTGCAAGTACTCTCGCAATTTTCTGCACTCGTCCAACTCTCTGCTCAAGATGGCTCTATCATCCTGATACCTGCGAATTTATAACACTGTTATAACGACCCATTATATACAAAATCAACACAGACTCCTCGTGTATTATTATTTGAACATTATTATCAAATAGACTACAGAATGATCCTTTGGATTTAACAGTGCGGCTATGTAAATAGTTGGAGGCTGGGAAATTGCGGTCGCTTTTAATGGTACGAAAATTGCTTTGTTACAGCTTCTGAATATAAAGTTTTATTGCGTTTTGTGGTATATTTTCCATTGAGTTTCCGCCTGGTCGGATTTAATAATTAAGTTATCCGACTACTCTGGATATTGTGGGCAAAGAAACAATTATCAAAATAGAAAACCCAGTAAAAATGTTTTATCTAATTAGTCTGGTATATATTCCTTTCGAGTCGTCTTAGTCTGGAGGAATCTTCTTTATTTGTACAACAGCCCATTTATTCTTCTTTCCATATGGTGAAATAAGCTCCAAATCCATTGCACTGTTTTATTGATTCTTACCAATTTATTTTTACTGGATAAACTATTAAATAAATTATAAACTGAAAAATGTTTGCACTTTTGATTTCTTCTTCTCTCTGGACGAATTATTCTTCTTCATCAGGATTAAATCTACACCACAAATTTATTATACCTACCTAATCTCGTCCAGTTTCCTCTTCTTTTCCAACAGCTCAATCTCTTGGGTATATTTCCTCTTTTCGGACTTCAACTGGTCCTGCAACGTGTGGACCTCCCTCCTGATGGTGCTTTTTTGTTCCCGCTCCAAATCCAAACGTCTCTGGGTGCTGGCCAGACGCCTCCTGTTATTCTGCAGCTCGGTGTTGAGCCGTTTCACGTCGGTCTTGAGTTCCTCCACAAGCCGATTGAGTCTAGCGTCGCGCCGGCGCAGCCTGGCCAATTCTTCGGTGGGATTTTCTTCTTTTTTCTTGTCGTCATTGTTGACGCTGGTGCCGCCGGATCCTTGCGTATCTAAAATATCAGCTAATCATGGGAGGGCAACAAAAAATTTCGTCCTTGAAGCTACACAAATTTATAAAATTATCCTGACCCATTGTGGAATATTTTGTTGAGCACTGGTTGGAATTGTGTAATGCTGATTGGTCCAATACTTGAGGCAGTCTGGATGTCATCTGACGAAACATCAAAGGCAAATTGGATTTTTCTCGCTTGAAGTTCCATAATTGTTTAGGCCTTCTTGGCGTTAATACAATTTCTTCTTTGTTGGCTTCACACGCAGGAAAATGGGCCAGGATATACGGTTTTATGTACCAAAACACCATGGATGGTGAACAAAATAAGAGGACAGCAAATTTCTAAGTTAAAACTGACCGTCATTGAATTGAAAAATCATTTTTTGATTCTGGGCACCTTTAGTGCAGATCAACAGGGTGAGTTGCCTTCTTGAAAACTTTTGGGTTCACTGATTTAGATGTCATTGGTCCATTATTTGTTGTAGATCACCAGTAAATGGCAAAATTGTAGCTCCCATAATGTCTTTCTCCTCTCATCATCCAATGTTATTGCTCTTAGATACATTTTGCTTGACTTTCTCTTGTCACAACACCAGAAAAAACAATGACGTCATTGGCTAGTCATAACTAGAGAAATAAACCATCCTATTATTTGCTCAACATCCTCACGAAAAAAAAAAAGAAGAAAAAAAAAGCATACAAATACAAGGTGTCCCACCGGGAACCAAATCGGTCTATATGTGAGAAACTGTATAAGATTTTTACGCTATATTTAGGATGACGTCACATTTAGTAAATTTCTGCTGCCAACCTAACAAAACTAAAAGTAGTGCGTCAGCTTAGCTAGGATAAAGGCACCAAATTTGGCACAGACAAGCCGCAGTTTTGATAGGGTAAATAGTAAATAGTAGCAACTTAATAAAATTTTGTAGCAAATCAAGTATCGCTAGACCCCCCTTTCTGTTTGAGGTTTTGAAGGTACCTCTCACCCCCGCTTAGGGGTTGACAGGTTGAAGTAGGGGGTGAAAATACCAATAAAATGATCGAGCGATTTTTGATTAATCAACCAACACCTGCGAAATCCTGGGTAGGAAGTTTTTCGTGCCTCACCCTTTATATACAAGGTGTCCCAAGACGTTTTACCTAGAAGATAACTTCGGAACGCGTGATCGAATGTTCTACTTTGTATTTTTTTATCATTTTTAGTAAATAATATGGCATTGCCGATTTTGTACTTTAATTTTCTAACGAAAGATGAAATAATACTATCAGTTACATTTAAGATTCTAAAGTTGCCGTCACCTGATCAAAACTGAAGTGAAAGTGGTGAAATTGGATGACGCATGTAGAAGCCGCACAAAAGCTAACCAGATTCCCAAAATTTCGGAGCCTCCTGCCGAAATGCCGTAGAAATACATTCTATTTATGACAAAAAAGATCTTCCTTATATCAAAATAGCAAATTCACCCTTAAAGCTATTAAAAGACACAGGAGCCTCAAAATTTTTTATATATTAATCCGGAAATTGCTGAAAAATATTTCGAAAATTTCATAAGAAAAGAGCCATTCACAATTTCCTCTGTTTTTCAAACAACTACTAGAGATCAATGGGTACATTGGTCCCAGCGGCTTAGTTCAGCCACTCAGCAGGAACTCTATTCTCGAAACCAAGGAACAGCGTTCTCATAAGACCGATTGCTCTGTCATTGTCGTCCCGGACGACAAAGACAGAACCTTCGTTCCAATGAGAACGCTGCTCCCCTATTTCGAGAATAGAGTTCCCGCTGAGTGGCTGAACTAAGCCGCTGACACCGTCTGAATGTACCTAATGTGCCGAAATTCCAGCTTTCAAAGTATTCAAGTCCGAAAATAAATTGAAATTCTATTTATTCAAATTTCATCATTATTTTAATGGCTTTATTGGCTATGACACTTTAAAAGATCTTAATGTGAAATTGGACTTACAAATTGACTTACTTAAAACACCTAGAGCTCAAATAAAATTGTCACACTATGGAGCAATGTCAAAACTACTATTTTAATACTCGAATTGAACCCAACACTATAGAAATATTAAACATCCCTGTAACAATACCAAATGGCGACATTAGTATTTACAAAACCTTGTTGTCCAACTGTATTTTAAAAGAATGCTTAACAACTGCGAGAGCAAAGACCGCATTCAATGTTAAGAATGGGCACTACGAATATGTAAGAATGCCCTTCGGTCTCAAAAACGCCCCCGCCACGTTTCAAAGGGTTATGGAGGGTGTCCTTAAAGGCCTACAAAACCGAACATGCTTCGTATACATGGATGACATTATTGTCTACTCGACCTCTTTACAAGAACACATGACAAACCTAAAATCAGTCTTTCAACGACTACGCGAAAATCACCTAAAAATCCAACCCGATAAATCGGAATTCCTGAGAAAGGAAGCGGCTTTCCTAGGCCACATCATGACAACAGAAGGCAAAAAACCAAATCCTGACAAAATCAAGGTGATACTAAAATACCCGATCCCTAAAACAACAAAAGAAATCAAGGGATTTCTCGGATTTCTGGGCTATTATCGTAAATTCATTCCGAATTTCGCCAAAATAACAAAACCGTTTACTAATTGTCTCAAAAAGCATGCGACCATTAATGTAAATGATCCCACCTACGTAAAAACATTCGAAGACCAGTGTTGCCAACCTTTTGAACTGAAAATTCCCACTGCCAGAACCAAAAATTCCCTTACTTCCCACAGTCGCCTAGTAAAAATTCCCACCTATTTTCCCTCTTCGTAAGCCGGAAATTTTTGGATGCCACGCCCTTTTTTTGAACCTTTTAGGGCCAAATTATGGACCAACTGGTAAGTGTCTGGTTGTTACCTAGCAGGTACTTTGTATTCTCTAGTACATAGAAAGTACCTGCTAGGTAACAACGAGACACTTACCAGTTGGTCCATAATTTGGCCCTTAACGGTGTCAATATCAATATCAATATTTAGAAAATTCACAAGCAAAAAAAAAAAAAACAAAAAACTAACAAACGCGGCAGAACATAAAAGGACTGTTCCAATTTCGTCAAATACCGTTCCATAAATGGTTCCGGAACCAACGAATTTCGGATTCCACGCACAAATTTTAGGCTTTGCGCAGAATCGTGAGGGTACATTGTACGGTATTCTGCTGTGTTGGAACAAAGCTTAAATGAATGAGTAGGGGTCGGTTTCCTAATAGCGAGCTACCTTCGGGTTGGTTTTAACTCCAGGGTAAACGGTTCCAGTCATTTGCAATGTTTACCCTGGAGTTGAGCTTAACCCGGGGATGACTTGCTATTGAGAAACCGGCCTTTACTACAGGACAGGAATATCAACATGTGTGGCGTGTCCAAAAAAAAAGGAGTGTTCTTCCTCTACTCGAACTCTACTAGTCTGACAACAAAGTGGAGTTATTAAAAGTTTTGAGCAACAGTCAGAAAAATAATTCCATTTTACATCAAAGGCATGGAAAGATGCGTAAACTTTATCTACCTGTTGAAATTCCCATGAAATCATCACTATTTTGACTTTTTTCCCTTTCAACTTATATTTTGGTCAAAATTCCCACGAGTTGGCATCACTGTCGAAGACTGTAAAGTATTATTAACTAACAAGCCGCTGTTGAAATATCCCGACTTCTCAAAAGAATTTAACTCAACTACAGATGCAAGCAACTTTTCCATAGGTTGTGTACTATCACAAGGTCCGATCGGACAAGATAAACCAATAGCTTATGCATCTAGAACATAAAATGCTGCCGAGCAAAATTATTCAGTAATTATTGAAAAAGAGCTCTGGAGTATTTTCTGGGGAAGGCGCTATTTCAGACCATATTTATTTGGGAGAAAATTTGAAATCGTCACTGACTATCGCCCACTCCAATGGCTAATGAACTTAAAAGAACAAAATTCAGGTTCACGCTTAGTTCGATAACGTCTGAAACTCGAGGAATTCGACTATCAGATAATTTATAAAAAAGGGAAAAACAATAAAAATGCTGACGCGCTATCAAGAGTCGAGATAAACGCAAATGAAGTAAATAAGACCGTAATCTGGGGCTACTTGGTCACTTATGACATAGTTTTTTTTTCTATATTTTCCCGGGGAAGATTTTCTGGATACATTCATAAAGAGAAACAATCTCTCCATCTGCCTTGCATCAAATATAAAAAGATCGAGATCGTCTGTCGACCGTGAAGACATTTTAAATTTTTTCGCCAATATTAATGACGCTCTGAATAATGCAGAAGATTTCAACATCTACAATTATGACGGAACGAATGTGACAGATGATCCAGCGAAAAAGGTTGTGGTCCCAAGAAACACTAAAAGGGTTGAACGGGTGCAGAACCACTCCCGCACCTCCATTAGTATTATGGTGTAATTATCCAATACATAAAAGAATACGTAGAACCAAAGAGGCAATACGTATTTTTTTTCAAAATGACGAAGAGAAAATGCTGTTAAGACAAATGTGTAAGTTTATACCGGAAACATTTAAATACGCATCTTACAAGTTTTTGAAATCTAATAAAATCGAGAATAAAATGCTTTGTGATGTAACTAAGGAAGATAGGCAGAAAAATATCATTAAAAGCCAACATGAAGGTATCAACAATCATACAGGTATTCACGAAACGATTGACCAACTACGCCTAAAATATTATTGGCCCAAAATGAATGACGATGTCAGAAAATTCATAAATAGGTTGCTCAATCTGTCAATAAGTGAAATATGAACGGTACCCACCATTAAGTACCGGAAACATAAAGAGTTACAAGTATACAGGGTGTGTCACAAAAGTGTGGCGAAGCAAAGTTATACTTTTTTAAATGGAACACCACATATAATATTGACCTATTGGATTAGTCTTTCAAACCTGATTCCAAATATACTAGGTTTTTCAGGTTAATGCCTCATAGTCAGGCCCCTGAGTATCCCATTTTGAAGAAATAATGTGGATTTTTTACTTGACTGATTACCTTTATATTTTGCTGGTGGTCTCAATACTCCACCTTTTTCAATAAAAGTACAATTATTCCACCCCTTTTTCTCTTATTTTCACCCGGACTATTAGGAATAAACCTAAAAAACCTAGTATATTTGAAATCAGTGGGTAAATAATATACGAGGTGTTCCATTTCAAAAAGTTTAACTTTGCTTTATCACATTTTTGTGACATACCCTGTATACTTGTAACTAACTACATTCTGATATTACCTACAACTTTCACATATGAAATTTGTATGGATAACTCTTCCAACAGGTGAGATAGGTGGGGATGCAAAATCACCCGGTACTTTTGAAAAAGAAAAATTACAAAAAAAAAAAAGAAAAAATAACTCGTTCGTGTGTAAACAACTTGTATAAACATTTACATTTCGTTATTTTTAGCTGTTGTCGTCAGAATTATTGACACATGACATTCTGGTAGGTAAATTATTATAAGAAAAAAAATAGGCATTGACAACATTGTCTGTCCTTGTTCGATGACGTCATCCTAAATATAACATAAAAAACCTTTTTTTTTAATATGCAGAAAAATTTGAAAATATTTTAGCCAGGTTGCCCCTATTGACTTTAAATTACTGTCAACATTTTTCTGTATACAGTATAGATCCATTTGGTTCCCAGTGGGGCACCCTCTAAAATATAACAACCTTACTAACAATAAAAATTATATTACCTTTTTCAGCTTTAGACGACCCCTTTTTCTCTTCGTCCTTCTTCTTCTCACTCTTATCGCCGCTCTTGCTCACTCCATTAGTAGTCGAACGATTATCTTTCCTATCTCTAGCACGCCTACTACTGTTACTGTCAGTATTTCTGCGCAAGTCCGGCCTGGTAAGCGAAACGCAAACCTTCTTACCGTCCAAAGTGGCATTGTTGAGCTCTTTGACGGCACTCTCGGCCATTGCAGGCGTTTCCAGGCAAATATAACCGAAAACTGTTTTGCCATTGGTCACTATACGAGCGGTTTCGACTTTGAATTTATCAGAGAACAGCTTTTTCAAGTCAGCTGCTTTGGTAGCTCTGGTTATGTTGGATACCCAGACGTTTTTTTGAGGACGTTTTTTAGCCTATAATTCAGAAAAAAAAATTAATATATATAATAACAAAACAGTAAAACAAAACTTACCGATTGAGTTTCTTTGACAGCTTCTTCGCTGGTTTGAGCAGAAATTTCAGCTTCCTCTTCGGCTGATAAAATTAACGTTGCAGCATCTTCGGATTTGCCAGTATCGGCGGCTGTTTCTTCGGATTTTGGTTTTTCATCTTCTGCCTTATCATTTTTGGCTTCAGCAACCGCTTCAGGAGTCTCTTTTTCAACCTTTTTTTCAGGCTCTTCTACTTTTGCAGTAGGCTTCTCTTCAACCTTTTCTTCAGCTTTTGGAGCTGATTTTTCTACAGCTTTTTCAGCAACCATTTTGATTTTTTACTAAAATAGGATGTTTTTGATGATTGAAACAATATAAGAAGAAAATTAGTAAATTTGCATTTGAATAATCGTCAAACCGAGTTAAATTTTGCGCTGTCGTCAAAAGTTTTGCCGGTGAATACAAATGGGGATTTCGCTCTCCCTACTACTAAAACCGTCAAGCAAATAATTCCGGGGTCGATGGGGAAGCATTCTCATATATTGTCATCTATACGACGTCGTATTATTAAATTAGAAAGAGACGACCGGAGCTGTAAAACCGATGTCTGGGAGTTTTATGTTTAATATATGCTCGGGAATGATGAAATCTTTGTCCTTTGTACTTCGAGAACGGATTCTCTTTTGTGTTAAATGTTTTTGTTTGTACTGAAGTTGAAGATAAATAAACAAGGAAATGCTTAAGCTGTTTTGTAAAGAGCAAATTACGCACATTGTATTTTTGGATAATCAAAATCTCTGGATAAATTATGTAGTTGGATTTTCAGGGTCCGAAACAAAAATTCGTCTGCAGGTTTTTTTCAATTCCAAATGATAAGTCGATGGGGTAAATTACTCATGGAAATCACTGTACACTTTGGTGGGAATACCTAGGAATACTTGGTAATACTCTGGAAATACCTAGGAATACTTGGAAATTCATTGGGAATATGCTGGAAGTATATGGGAATACTCTGGAAGTACATGGGAATAATTTGGAAAGTATTTGTAAATTTCTATAACTTTCAACCCCACTTTTGACGTACTATTTTTGGGAATTTTCATTAAAGTCTTAAGAGTTGCGTGCATGTTCGTTCTGATTTGTTATGGTTCAGTGTTTCACTTTGTTCTGGTTAAGTGTTCCAATTTTTTTTTTTGATCAACGGTTCCAGTTACCCTAATTTTAAGGCAACTGAAACAGTGATTCCTGTTTTGTTATGCATTCACATAGTATTATATCTGAGGCGACTGGAACATACAGGGTGTCCCACGGTGGATGGCGTATTAGACGTTTATGGAGAACTAAAAAACGGATCATTTTGAAAATTTGGCAACCGGGAAAAACGACCATGATCTACACTTTAAAAATATTTTTAACCATGCGGTGTTGCAGCTTCTACTCTAAACTAGTGACAACATCACTGTTTTAAATGGAACGCCCTGTATGTGATTGCATATTTGGATTCTAAGTACAATTCTGAGCAGATTTCATGTGATATACCCTATACCTAAGTTCAACTGTTTTGGAAATATTGACAGTTGAAAATTGACTTTCTGCAACTTGGACAGGTAAAACTTGAACGGTTGAGTTTAGAGGAAAACCGATTTTACATTCTTATCTTAGTTTTTGATAAACTATCATATGACACCAACTTTGAATTAAATCCATGATTAAAAATTCCAGTAAAATTTAATCTCCGGTTAAGTTAAAAGTTGGCGTCAAATGATAGTTTATGAAAATCTAAGACAGGAATGTAAAATTGGTTTTCCTCTATAATTAATCGTTCAGGTTTTACAGCCTGTCAAAGTTGCAAAAAGTCAACTGTCAATATTTCCAAAGCAGTTGAACTTAGGTATAAGGTACATCACATGAAATCAGCTCGGAATTGTACGCAGAATCCAAATATGCAATCACATACAGGGTGTTCCATTTAAAATAGCGATGTTGCCACTAGTTTAGAGTAGAAGCGACAACACCGCATGGTCAAAAATATTTTTAAAGTGTAGATCATGGTTGTTTATCCCGGTTGCCAAATTTTCAAAATGATCCGCTTTTTAATTCTCCATAAACGTCTAATACGCCATCCACCGTGAGACACCCTGTACATTCAGTAGAAGACTACAATCCCTGAAAATTTCAACTCATTTGGACTTATAGTTCCTGAGATAAAATCGTGTTAAGCAATTTGGGGTGATATATCAATTTTTCAATTTTTCTGAGGCCTTTTTTCATAGATTTCGGCTTCAAATCTGGGAATAATTAAGTATATGAAGTTCGGGAGATATCAAATGACCATTATTACACAAAATCTCAACAAAAAAAAATTAAATTTCATCGTTTATTAATGATTTAGATTTTGGAAAACTTTGAAAGGTCATTACTTTTTTTCTATTATAGATAGAAAACTGAAATTTTCAGCGATTCTTATCCCAATAGACGACTTCAATACCTGAAAATTTCAACTCATTTGTACTTATAGTTCTTGAGATAAAATCGTGTTAAGCAATTGGGGGTGATTTATCAATTTTTCAATGTTTCTGAGTGTCTTTTTTTCATAGATTTCGGCTTCAAATCTGGGAATAACTTGGTATATGGAGTTCGGGGGATATCAAATGACCATTAGAAAACAAAGTCTCAACAAAAAAAAATTTGAAATTTCATCGTTTTAGTAAGAAGGTAACCTTATGATTTAGATTTTGGAAAATTTTGAAAGGTCATAACTTTTTTTCTATTATAGATAGAAAGCTGAAATTTTCAGCAATTCTTATTCCAATAGAGAACTTCAATACCTGAAAAATTAAACTCAGTTGGACTTATATTTCCTGAGATAAAATCGTGTTAAGCAATTTGGGGTGATTTATCAATTTTTCAATTTTTCTGAGTGCCTTTTTTCATAGATTTTGGCTTCAAATCTGGGAATAACTTGGTGTATGGAGTTCGGGGGATATCAAATGACCATTAGGACACAAAATCTCAACAACAAAAAAATTGAAATTTCATCGTTTTAGTAAGAAGGTACTTAGCTACCTTATGATTTAGATTGTGGAAAACTTTGAGAAAGGTAAAACTTAGATTGCGTAAAATATGTGAACCTGTCAATATTTTGACTGATAAACACCAGTAGCACCAGTATCTCGTATATTCTCCAAACAAAAAAGTTCATTTTTCAATGCTCATATCTCAAAAACCGTAATGCCTACAAGATTTCGACCCCTTTAAAGGTTGTTCAGAATTAAATCCTCTACAACATATCAAAAAATGGGCAAAATCCATAGAGCCCAAAAATCCCATGTTAGGTGTGCGTTATCTTTTGCATTTTCTAGACATTCTCTTAACTATTTCTCAATCAAAAATTATCTAAAACAGGCTCAAAATGGGCGTTTACCAAGAAAACAACCTAAATCGAAGCTTATAATATGAACCGCTTCCTAAAGGTTTATTTGGTTCAAAATAAAGTGAATCCGATATTTGACATTATGTCTCACCAAGAACACAAATTTGTTATTATGAAAGTACACACAATGATAGTAAATAGTAATACTAATTCAACATAAATCTAAAGTTCCAAATAAACTTGTTTCTTAAATTACATGTTTGATTGAGGCTCTGGAATTTAGAGATTCTGATATACAGCTCAAATTATAAAAAGTCTCCTAGGAGATCTAGATTCCAAGATTTACTCATATTTAGAACAGCGTCAGATTCTTCCAATGTGACTATTGAATTTAGATATTCTAAATCACATCTCAAATAATAAAGATACAGTCTTGAAAGAGATAGTTCGGGTATTCCTGATTTCCCAGTATAATGATTTTACTACTAATACTTTGAATACACTGAAGATCATCATCATCATCATTATTATATGGATTTACTTTTTATTAAGTTTTTTTCTCTTATACCAATGCTCCTTGATGAAAGATGTCCCAGTTGACATATTTTCGAATGAACAGTATACAAATTTGTGTGTATTTCGAGAAAGTTTTCCTCCTTTTTCCTTCAATCAATGAAAGTAAGTCTTGAGAAATTATTATATTTCTCCAATTGCATTATTGTATTCGTTTTAAACGAAATTGTAAAAGTCTAGACAACATAAACGATCGTTTCTTTTCTTTTTTTTTCAGGAAAGAAAAACGACGCTCCGCTAGTTTATCTCCCTCTTGCCGTGTTTTCCACGTCGGGAGACATCTTAAAAAAATAGGAAGAGACAGTTTACCGAAAGATTAATGACTCTTTTGGAAAAAGCATCCTTGCGGTATTATATCGGAATTGATTTTGATACATATGCCTTGAAATTAATTAGATTCAAACAAACATTTCACCTGATTAATCCAGACGAAAATAGTGTATGATAGGGGCCTGACTGTCGCCTGGGGATACAGACGGATACCGACGTGTTGCTTGCTTGTCGGGGTGCAAGTTTATTAATTAGTTTCCGACACTGAAGGGAGGGAAAGGATCTGATGATGACGCCCTGCCACGTAAAATCATTTCGATTTTTTGAGACACAAGCATCAAATTACCATATTTGAGTTCCAGAAAGTTGTTTGTTCAGCTTATACATACTAATTGAGCGATCGAAAGGAGTTTTATCCAGAATAGCAATCTATTTGTATTAATAAGTGTACTAATTGAATTGGAATTATCAATCAAAATGTTAGCCAGTGATATTTTTTGGCCCGGCAATACCAGTCAATTTCAAATAAAATTTCAACATTTTGAACTGAAAAGGATGCAAGTTGGAATAAATATATTGAGTGTGTGAGGCTATAGGGGATAAAATGGAACGTTTGATATGCAGAACGTGTGTGTCAGCTGTGTAAGGTTATATTTTATTTTCGAGGGGGTTTAAAAGTTATTTTATGGATTCATATTTCACAGTGAAAGAATCAGGCATTTAATTTCTGTGTTATTTCTATTCAATAACTTTATGGTACTCACTTCAGAGCATCTGAATTCAAGAACCACAATTGAGGAATCAGACATTGGATTCTTAGAGAAAGGAACAAACCATAGAATCGTAGACTTCTTGCTTGAAGTCTTTATTCATAATTTAAGTTGAACTTCAAGATTTGTAAGTATTTACTAGTGGAAATCATTGTAAATATACTTGGGAATCATTTAGTAATCAATAAGGAATACATGGAAATCACTTGGGAGCCCTTGGGAATAACCTAGGAATCGCTAGGAATTTCCTAGGACTCTGTGAAAATCACATAGAAATCCATTGGCAATTGCTGAGAATCATGTGGTAATCGCTGGGAATATCATCTCATTCTAATCCAGAAATTGCATAACATAC